ACGTGAACCTCAACCTCCATGGACCCAAGGCCAGAAGAACTATATAGTACCCGGCTACCACTGCTGACCACTCAGAAAGGGATCAACATATAAGATCCCAGAGAAAGTCGGGGAAATATGGGTCATAAAAATAAAAAACATATAAAAAAAAAAAAAAAGATAGGCTTACTGGTCTGAGGAAGACTGGTGGAAACCCCGAGACTACAGCCCTTAGACACCCTTCAGACTAGGAACTGAACTTACCACCCCCCCATGACTCCACAATCAGTCAAATGATTCACAGGCCTATGAAATGAACAGTGATACCAGGAGGATATGCACTCATTAGAACCATCAGACATGTGAAATCATGAGGATAGCATTTACCCCAGGATAGAGCTGGGAAGGCTGGAGATGATGAGAATAAAGGATGAAGGGAAGGGCTGGGCACAGGGAGAAAGTGGGAAGAATGCTGTCATGGTGTGAGGATTGCAATAAATACACAAAACAGAATGTGTATGCATTGCTGAAAGAAAAACCAATTTGCTCTGTAAACTTTCACTCAAATCACAATTTAAAAATATAAAGGAATGAAGAGAAAAAGAAAAAATGACTTGTACACAAATATTCCTAACAAGCTTCATTTGCAATGGAAAAAACCTAATTTTTCATGAACCAGTGAATAAATAAACAAAATGTGATATATCTAAATAATGAAATAAAAATCATCAATAAAAGAAAACCCAACCACAAATCAGTCTCAAAATCATTATGGTCAGGAAAAGAAACTTGATACCTAAGAGTGCACATGATTTCAGTTACACAAAATTCTGTAAAAGTTAAACTAATATAAAGTGTCAAAAAGCTGTTTGGTAGTTTTTGGGACAAGGAACAGAGAACAAAAGGACTACAAAAAGAAACAAGAATCTTTCAGGGTAATCAAAATGTTATGTATCTAGGTTGTGAGTGGTGGTTTAATCAGAATATATAATTGCCAGTGTTGACTGAGTTACAGATTTTCAGTGAATGCAATATGCTGTTTATAAATGTTACCATAATGAAGTTGATGAGAATTTCAAAAGAGAAAAAAAATTGTGTTAAAACTGAACATTGTATTGCATTAAAAACAGAAGGTTTCTGGAAACCAGTCATGAGGCTATTCCAATGGACTATTCCAAGATGATGCTTGTCTGGAACAAAAAGGTGACAGTAGAAATAAAAGATACCAGTCAATAGTACTGAATGATTAAACGTAGAGTTTGAGTAGGAGCCCTGCATGCTCAGTGGTTAAAACACACAATTGCTAACTAAAAAGTCAGTGATTCAAACCACCAGCCACTGCATGGGAGAAAGATGAAGAAGTCTGCTTTTGAAAAGGTTTACCACCTTGGAAACCCTAGGAAGTATTACTAGTCTGTCCTATAGGGTGACTCTGAGTCAGAATCACCTGGAGAGCAGTGAATTTTTGGCTCAGAATATGAGTAAAGAGGAGTCTGCAAGGATCTACCTTCAACAGTTGATGGATAGAAGAGCTATTTACTAAGAAGAGAAAATCAATATGAACAATTAAATGAAAATTAGGACAAAGAACAAATTGAGAAACTGCCCATGATAACCTGATTACTGATGTGGTGACTTCCTAAGATTGACCTGCCAGTTATTTGCAAATATTTTCTTTCTTTGTCAATTGGCAATCTCTAGATGACATATTGAATAAAGGCTTAATGAATAAAGGTTGAGTAAAGGCCTCCTTCATAAATTGTTGTTGTTGTTATTTGCCATCGAGTCGGCCCCGACTCATAGCGACCCCTCCTTGGGTTTCCGAGGCAGTATCACTACGGAAGTAGGATTGCCCAACCTTCCTTCCGAGGAGTGGCTGGTGGGTTTGAACCACCAGCCTTCTGGTTAGCAGTCAAGTGCCTTAGGCACTATGCTATCAGAGCTCCTCCTTCATAAATAGTGCATCTTATTTATCTGAGGGCAGTGATAAGGCTCCAAGAATACATTCCCTCTTAAATCTAGCTCTAAATTATCTCACTCAAATAAACAAGAAATTCCACACTGTTAATTATCTTTGTCTAGCACCACTTCTCTTTCCCATGAGAATTTGAAAATTCTTTTGGTGAGAAAAAATGCTCTCTGAAAAAAATACATAAAATAATAATAATAATATTAATGGAGTCTATGGAATTTTTCATATTTTAAAGGAGGCAAAGCAGAAGATCACTGGGCACTCAGGGAGGTACAAAGATCTATGGAACACTTGTAGGAGATAAGAGAAGGAAGAAGAGGCAATACTACTACTAGACATATATGTTAAGGAATTTATCAAATACATATACAAACACATGTATGGACTAAGATGTTGCTCAAAGTTTTATTCAGAATAATGACAATAAAAAGCAAAACATTCTAAATAGGAGATGAATGCAATATGACAAACAACCATTAAAATTATTTTACATTTTGATCTAGAAATATGCTTATGACATTATTTCAGAATAAAATGTTTATTAATGATTATGTACAGTGAGATTCATTGCAATAAAATATTTACATAGGCATGTACATAAGTAGAAAATTATCTAAAAGAGCATTCAAAATAGCACACTACAAGTTGCAATATATTTATGGTTTACTTTTATTTCTGTCATTGTTTAGCTCCATTGTGGAAGTATATGCAAATAATATGTAATCTCTTTAAATTATATATATATATATATAGAGAGAGAGAGAGAGAGAGAGAGGGAAGGTTAACATTCCCCTTGACAAGGATGGAAGAAGCCCTTGGGACTTATAAACACACACATGCAGTTAAGGCATTGCCACCTACTTTTTTGGGGAGCTCTGGTAGCACAGTGCCTAAGGCATTTGACTGCTAACCAGAAAGATGGCAGTTCAAACCCCCTAGCCACTCCTCGGAAGGAAGGTTGGACAATCTACTTTTGTAGTGATACTGCCTTGGAAACCCAAGGAGAGGTCACTGTAAGTCGGGTACGACTCAATGGGAGTGAGTTTGCTTTGTTTATGTATATATCACACACACAGAAAGAGAAACAGTTGTTCACCAAACTCCAAGCCTAAGAATAAATAATCAATTCTGACATCAAAATGGAAGAGAAGAAATTAATAACCAAACTAAAACATCAAACCATCATTTATGTTATAGATAGACCCATTAATCTAAAATGCCATATTAAGATGAAACCATGATTACTCAGCAATTACTCATTCCCTCTGTTACTAGAACCACAAAAAGAAAACAAACTCACTGCCATCAAGTAGTTTTTGACTCATAGTGACCCTTATTGGGTTTCCAAGGTTGTAAATCTTTAGGGAAGCAGATTGCCCATGTTTCTTCCATTGAGTAGCTAGTGGGTTCCAGCCACTGACCTTTTGGTTAGCAGCCAAATGCCTTAACCACTGCATCACCAAATCTCCTTTTATTATTAGAGTGTGTAAGTTTAATTTACTTCAGTGGATAAACCTTGAAGATATTATGGGAAGTGAAATAAGTCAGGTACAAAAGAAAAAATATTATATGAGTCTGCATATAAGAAATATCTAAATTAGGCAAATATATAGAGACAAAAGTTTATGCATGGTTACCTGGGGCTGAGAGGAGGTGGGAATAGGGAATTACTGTTTAAGGAGTGTTCAGAGCAATTAAAAATTTTTGGAAATCAGTAATGGTGATAGTTGTACAACATTGTGAGTAATGTAATTAATATCACTGAATTGCACACTGGAAAATGGTTAAAATGGCAATTTTTTGTTACATATATTTACTACAATAAAATTATCTTCTAATAGTTGAAGACAGCAGTTTAATTTTTTATTTTTGTGAATTACCAGTCCTTCTAGACGAAATTTCCAGCATTACCCAAATATGGGTCAGATCTTATAGCCACAAGACTTGTGACTCGATATCAACATGATCATAGGTTTGATACCTTCATGTGCCATTCATTGTTGTATTTCATGGACTCGGGAGGCATTCCCCACAACTCTGTAAAATCATTTTGTCAAAGTGTTCTACAGATCAGGAGGAGAAAAGAATTAATACAAAAGTCTCCATCAATGGTAAAGCCTATGCTTGATATCTTTCTTATTGTTGTTGTTGTTATGTGCCGTCGAATCAGACGCAACTCACAGTGACCCTCCTTGGGTTTCCGAGGCAGTATCACTACGGAAGTAGATTGCCCCGTCTTCTTTCCGAGAAGTGGCTGCTGGGTTTGAACCACCAGCCTTCTGGTGAGCGGCCAAGTGCCTTAGGCACTATGCTACCAGAGCTCTCTCTTTCTTATTAGGAGATTATGATAGTATATGCTTTTTTTAATATATGAAGCACACACACTCACATCTGGGTAACAAAACGTTTGCAATGTGTAGAGCTAAATAAGCTTTGAGTCAGACAAATATTAGCTTGAATCACAGTTTTACTACTTCTTATTTGAGACATGTCAGGAAAATGAATTCATCTCTCTTAAATTAAGTGTCCTCATTGGTGAAAAAGGGACAATGTTGCATAGTAAAAAGAGTTTTTTTTTTTTTTTTTTGCTAGGGTTAAAAGTAAAATGTGTATAAAGCACCTGACATTTAGCAAGGATTTAATAATTTGTGGAAATAGCTATTATAATACTTAAAAGGAAAAGAAACTATATGGACAGGAAACTAGGAGTCCAACTAGAAATCAGATTCATTCATCATGATATACTCACACATTAACACAGTCATGCTTATCTGACAACAATCTGGAACCTATTTGTTAAAACCAAGTTTAAACAATGCTGGCCAGCCTGCAATTTAATTGTGATTTCGCTTTTATTTCAGAAAAATTCTCAAAAGATGTCTAAAAAGACATTTTATTGGAGGGAGAAAGAAAGTTCAACATCCTTAAGAGGCTAACATCTAATTTGGAAAAAATTGAGAATAAGAGAAGAGTAGAAAAATTAGAAGAGAGTTCTGGGAAGGAATCATATTTGCCTCTTTAAAACCTAAAACATAATAGCAATGCTTTTTCATATGGTTCTTTCTAGTTTAAAGATGGCTTTAAAATTTACCTTCCTCTGAGCAAATTCTTTTGACAGGACTTTCCTCAGAGCTGCCTTCATGGCTTCATTCCGTAAGCTATAGATGACTGGGTTGAATGTTGGAGGTATTACAGTGTAGAATATGGACAACATAAGGTCTATAGCTGATAGATAATCTGAGGGTGGCCTGAGAAACTCAAAGCCTGCAGCTGAGAGGAAAAAAGTGACCACAAATAGATGAGGTAGGCAGGTGGAGAAGACCTTGGTCCGTCCCTCAGCTGACGGGATTCTCAGCACTGTGGAGAAGATGTGGATGTAGGAGAGCACAATGCAGATCAAGCAGATAAACGCTGCTGAGGTTGTGAGTGCAGCCACTGCTACCTCATTTATGAAATTGTAAGAGCAGGACAGTTTTAGCATCTGAGGGATATCACAGAAGAACTGATGTATGACTCGGTCTCCGCAGAGAGGTATGGAGAAGTTAACAGCTGTGTGCATGAGCCCAGAAATGCCCCCAGCAACCCACACAGCTATAACTGCACGTCTGCAAGCACTGGGATCCATTATGGCCTCATAGTGCAGTGGTTGACAGATGGCCACATATCGGTCATAAGACATCACTGTGAGGATGGCCACCTCTGATGAAGCCAGAGCTATGAAAAACAAAACTTGAAGAATGCATTGACCAAGGGAAATGTAACCATTGTCTGTAAGTGAGTTTGCAATGGACTGGGGGACTGTGACAGAGATGAAGCAGACATCTAGAAGGGAAAGATGCTTTAAGAAGTAATACATGGGGGCATGGAGATGGTGGTCCAAAGTAATGATGGTGATAATGAGGAGGTTGCCTGTCAAGGCCAGCAGGTATGTCACCAAAAATAGCAGTGCATGTAAAATCTGAAACTTATGGTCATTAGAAAACGCCATAAGGAGGAATCCACTCATAGAGGTTAAGTTGACCTTGATCATTTTTGAAGACAGCAAATATGATTCTGTTGAGGAAGCCAGACAATTGTAGGGTATCAATTTATGATAGATCTTCCATAGTGATACTGCCTCAGAAACCCAAGGAAGGGTTGCTGTGAGTCGGGTCCGACTCAATGGCACATAACAACAACAACAACAACAACAATATATCTATATGCTGAATCATTCAGTGTCCTCAATATTGAACTCAGAAAAAGTCTTTAACCTTTGTTCAGAAACATTTTTGTTGTTAGTTTGTTGTTTGTTGTCCATCAAATTGATTCAGACTCATGGCAGCCCCACGGTGCAGAATAAAACTCTGCAGGGTGTTTATGGCTGTGACCTTTCAGAGGCAGATCATCAGGCTTTTTCTCAAGCACCTCTGGCTGAGTTCCCACTGCCAACCTTACCACCAATGATAGAATGTTTAACCATTCAATAATATTGCACAGACTGAAAAACTCATGATAATTTTCTGGATAAGAATTTGGACTGTGGAAGGTAGAGAAATTAACTCTCATGTAACTCAAAGAAAATGATTCTGATAGAGCATTATCATTGCTTCTTATGCATGGTAACTTACCGGTGTCCCTGGGTGATGCCACAGCTAGTGAAGTGCTCTGCTACTAAAAGAAAGTTGGCAGTTTGAACCTGCCTGGATGTGGCTAGGAAGACAGGCCTGGGAATGTGCTTCTGAAAGATTATAACCTTGAAATTCCTATGAAGTGAAGTTCTACTTTGCATATATGGGGTTATCGTGGAATTGACTAAAAGGAATGGGGGGGGGAGAGACAAAGTGTGTTACCTTAAGTATTGAAAAATACCTAAACTGTGTCACCCTAAGTAATATGCCTTGTTGTTGCACTAAGGTTCCTTTACTAACCATCTAAAATTAAATCTTTAATACTATGTTTTAAATGAATGTAGGAAGAGAGCAGATGCAGACATAGGGGGGCTGTTAACATTAAGAATAATCATATCCCTTGCCTCTAAAAATAAAATAAGTCTCAGAATTGCAACATGTTGATGTCACTGTGCCAGGCATTAAACCCTGTGGTTTGGAACTCAAGGAACTTGTAACTGAGAATATGTTGTCTTCAGAGAACATCATTTAATTTTCAAGACATGTGAAAAGACATTGTGTTGGACATTTTCAACCAAATTTATTTTTAGCAAATAACGAACTTTTCTAAAATGTATTCCATTATTGAATTCCTACCATGTGATAGACAGAATGTTAGGTGGTGGAGTAAACAAGACCAAACAATTCTTTATTCCTTTTCTCTAGGACTTGAAATACTTTAGATAGTATTCCTTAAACTAAAAAAAAAAAAAAAAAAAAGCCAAACAAAAAAATTCAACAACTGATTTAACATAATTCTTAGGGAGGCTGGTGAGGGTTGTTTTTCTACTATATTTTAAATGTTGTAGAATCATAGAATAGGAGCTCTGGTAGCATAGTGCCTAAGGCTCTTGACTGTTAACCAGAAGGCTGGCAGTTCAAACCCACCAGCCACTCCTGGGAAAGAAGGTTGGGCAATCCTACTTCTGTAGTGATACCGCCTCAGAAACCCAAGGAGGGGTCGCTATGAGTCCGGGCTGACTCGACGGCACATAACAACAACAACAACAACAACAAGAATCGTAGAATCACTTTGTGTATCAGAATCACTGTGCTGATTTTAATTTCTTTAAAAAAAAAAATCTGTGAATTTACTGCAAAATCAGTAGTATTATTTTCACTGTGTTTTGGTTTTGTATCTCCGTAAGTCCTCTCAAACAGCTCTATCAAATCCACAAATGACTACCTCAATAGTAAATTCAACGTGCTATTATTATTCTTCTAAATTTTATTTCTCAAACATATGATAGAACTATACAGATTTTTCTTCTAGAACATCTCTCTTTATTTAGTTGTGATACTATTCTGCTGGTTCTATTTCTCTATGGGTATCCTTTTCAGTCTCTTTGGCTGAGGCCTCTTTGTACTGAAATCTGATAGTATTCAAAACTCTTTCTTTGATCTCATTTTTTTTTTCTTTTTTGTACGCAAAATATTTTTGTAAGGGTCATTTAAAGAAGACAAGTTAACTGATTTTCTACATGATTTTCACACTTACTGGCTGAGGATGTTGCAAGTACTTCCATAGATCTTCTGAGTTCCAGATACTCATATCCACCTTCATGGTTGGCACACAACCAGTCTGTCCAATCAGAATTTATCTTGTCTCTCAACCATCTCCCTGCCACTGTTCTCTACTTTAAGAATTGTATGTCCAATCAAGCATCAAAATTTTATCTGTTCATTGTCTATTGTATTTATTAACTTCTGTTGTCCCATTTCTATATTACTTCACATTTTTATCATCTCTAGTAATACCGTATTCTTAAATTCAGTGTCCCTCTGGTCTAACTTCTTAGATGTTTTCAGGATGACCATCTTGTTTAATTTCTGATTTTGCTTTTTACCTCTTTATTTGCATTATTGATTATGCAATAATGAGCAAAAAACTTAGGATGGCAAACAATGTCTTCCACAATATGTTTTCTGACTGCCTTTCCAGTATTATCTCTCACTCTAATTTTTCTAACCCCATATAAAATGGACATTTTAATAATGCTGAATTACTTACATTACCCTTAATGCATCAATCACATATACTACACTATATTCAGTTAAAATGTTTTTGTATCATGCTATCATTTCTGTCTGAAATTTTTACCACTAGACACTCTTATCACTTTTTAGGCAAATACTTAAGTATCTTTCAAGACATCATTCTTCTATAAAAAGTCTCTGGAGTTTACCTGCCAACCCAAGTAGAATTTAACATATAAGGAATTCATTGATATTCCTTATAGCTTATATTAATGTTATTATACTTTTTTGTTTGCAAGTATTTCTCAGCCTAATTAAGCTAGTCATAGGGCTCTATTTACTGTGTCTCACATAGTCACTGACACTTAGCAGGTGTTATATAAATATTACATAAATTCCATTAAATTTTCAGAAGTTAAACTCACCAGAGATGATCCTAGTAAGTAGGAACAAATCTGTTATTCCTGAGCTTAAGCATCTGTGTTTGTGAATCAGACTAGTAGCTCAGATTGAAATTTTCATGTAAGATAAGGTCTGAGACATATATATAAAGGAAAGAACAGGGAACGTTGATTCACCGACTTTTAAACTTCCCATTAAACCCATGTTGCTTGAAATGAAGCCAGAGCTGCCCAGGCACTAGGGAACAAACCGATTCAGCATGGTTGGTGTTCCAGGTAAACACTATGAGGTCAAAGACTGGGACTTCAGGAAGCTCTCCCTCAAGGAATTACCTCAGTGGAAAGTAATTAATTATAATTTTCATCTAACTAGATCTTATAGCCTATGCTATTCAGAGGGAAAAATGTATATTGTATATAAATTATTTTCTGTGGTGTAAGTTCAGCTAACCTTCTTTAGTAAGAATAATTTTTCATTCATCAATAATTTCAATTTCACTGGTCACCCATAAAATCGTGTATGCTAGTGTGAGCTGCATGTAAAAAAAGGAATATTTAGTAATTATTTATTTACATGAACTTACTAATAGTTACAGAATCTTAGAGTTAAGACAAGAGAGATCATTCAGCACAAGCTTCATCCTAACACTATTTATTTTCTAAAATAACTGTGAAGGTTATAATCCAGTCTTCATTTCAACAATTCCCTAAGTGGGTAATTTATTTCTTTCATTTTTACTGTGTTTTGGATGAAAGTTTACAGAGAAAATTCACTTTCCATACAGAAACTCACATACACTTTGTGTCATGACATTGACTGCAATTTCCCACAATGCAACAGCTCCCCTCCAACTTCTTCCCCAAAGTTACCTCTTCTCTATGTCCTTCCCTCCCATGCACTCCTGTACTCTGAGCTGTCTCTCTGTGCATACACAGCCCTTCTATTCTTCTATGATCGATCTCTCCAAGGAGTGTATCTACCTAACGTAAATGTTCAGCTCATATGTCTGTCTTTTGTTTGACTGGAAGCCACAGGAGTGGGTTCACTTCCAGATTTGAAGGGCAGCTAGGGGTCATAGTCTCAGGAGTTCCACCAAGCTCTATCAGAGTGAAACTAGACTTTTTTTTTCTTTTTTTTTTTTTTTTTTAATGACTGAGTTTTGTTCCACATTGTTCTCCCACTCTATCCAGGATCTCCTACATAGATCCCCCTCCAAGTGGTTGAAGTCGTAGCTGGGCACCATCTAGTTCTTTTGGTCTCATAATCATATAGGCTAATGATTGCATGGTGTACCACTCACTTGGACTAATTGTTTCCATGTATTTTGGTTACCTAGTACCACTATGACAAGAATATACCACAAATGGGATGGCTTGAAGAGACAGCAGTTTATTCCTTTACAGTTTGGAGGCTTTAAGTCCAAGTTCAAAGTGTCAGGCTCTAGGGACTGGGTGAAAACCCCTCAGCCTTGGCCTTCAACTCTGCCTCCTGCTGCCAGCCCACTGAAGCTGGAGGATTTTCTTCACTCAACTGCTGGCTGCTGAGGCTGACAAGCTCAAGGTTGACAAGTAAAAAAACATAGTCCCAATGTTACCAAACCACATGGCAGGCCATGAGTTCAAGTGCATTGAAAGTTCCAAGGTCTGCAGAGTATGGCAGGCTGCTGAACAATGACATGGCTACATGCAGGGCTCAAGTATGCCATAAGCTAGATACTATGCCCAAAGCTGTTTCTTATGTACTGGAAGCAGACCACATATCTTAAGCAACTACTCAGCTGCTCCGGAAGAGTCCATCATAGAGTTTATGACCAATCCCACCATGGGGAATAACTACATTCAGCTGCCCAGCCACTCACACAAGCCCAGCCAAGTTGACATACAAACTTAACCACCACACCATGTGTCTTTCATTTTCTTCATCCTTCTTTGCTCTGGATGAGGAGAGACCCATTGTTGCATGTAGATGGCCACTTAAGATCCCAGCTGCTACTTGCCAAAGT